TTCCGTACTGCACGGCCGTACCAACACAACACACACAGGTATATACATAATTATATACATACACATGTATATACATACATACACATGTATATATACTTGAAATCGAATGTCATACTCAGCATGCGTTCAACATTGATTGAAATGTAGAATGGTTATGGCATCATATCGACGACACGACTGTTGCTGAACTATTAGCAATAAACGACAATTTTGAATTAAATAGAAACCCACCGAATCTTCTATGTTTATGATTTTAAATGTTAAAATCAATGCGATGGGACATAGTCATACCGCATCAAAGCAATTGTCTTCGCTGTTTTGTTTATTATGTTTATTATTCCGAGTTATCACTTTAGTCTCCCTGGAAGACAAACAACTTTGCAGCTCTTTTTTAAAGACGTGTTGGTCGTTTACAAACCCATGGACACAATTTAGAATAGTTAAGAGGCGTGCTTGGGTCATGCCTGTGAGCGCCAAACTGAATTCACTGGGATACAATGTCACAGCAGAAAGACCTAGATACTCGATTTCTAAAACTCCCCATCCGGGAATCGAAACCAGGTCTTCTGCATGCGACGGGGAAGCGCCAAACACTACACCACAGACGCCTGCAGCCCATGAGGTGCATGCTGCTATGATCCACACATTATATTATTATTACATGTATTATTATTGGGTCACGTCGCTGTGGAATCAGGCGCTCGTCAATGTTTGGGTGTATGGAGTTATTGGTATCATCTTTAAGCATGACGTTCATTTGCCTTGTTTGTGGTGAAAAAATGTGCACCTATCTTGAATAGAAGTCAGGATGTTTGCATTTGAAGGAGGTGGACGTCGCCTGATTTCAGAGGTAACATTAGCAGAAAATGGTCGCCAAAGTTTGGTGACGTCCATAGCTTGAGAGTTCTTGAAAACTAAAAATGTACATGTTTTTGTACTTTAATCAACGTTTTTCAATAAAATCCACACATAAATGTTTTTTCAAATGGATTTAAAAGGGTTGGACTAAGAGAAAAAAAAAATAGAGGACAAAACCCCTGCTCAACAGGAAAAAAAGTGCCAGTTTCTTGGATTTCATTATTTTGACGAGCGCCTGATTTCATCAAGATGCCTCACTTATGTTTCTGTCTGTTACCCCGTGACCTGGCAGCTTGTTGACAAGTAGAATCTTTATAGGCGAAATACCCTTCCACATGATACAACATCCCACGCGACGGAGCCAGGATTTGATCTCAACATTTTTTTTACTTCATTCTTTTACTTTTAACCTCAAGTTGGACATCTTAGCACTTGACATACATTTTTAATTTCAGTCGTAGTCAAATCCCAAGTGCATGCTTCATGTTAATACGGGTATCCATTTTCTCTTCTTGCGAGCAGTCAGACCCCCCCCCTCCACACACACACACACACACCTACCGATCTATGTTATCGAGTTGAGGACTTAGTTTAGTTTTAGTAGAGGTTTTACGGCGCTCGCAACTGCATGAGGTCATAAGAGCGCCAAAAGATTAGAGGTGTTACAAGAGAGTAACAAAGATAAAAAGAAGGAAGGGAGATAAGGAAGATAGGTGTTTGATAGGAAAGAAGAAGTAAACCACACCAGAGCACCCGCCAACCACCCACTAGTTGAGGACTGCACACACTAGCCTTGTAATAATTTTTAACAAAGTTTTAAGTCTACAATGTACTTGTTCAAAGCAGACACTATCCTTTTTTTGCATCAACCTCAACGTTGTGTATAACCTGTTCTCCGAATTAAAAACAAACAAACAAACAGACAAACAAATAAAAAACAAAACAAACAAACAAAACAACAACAATAAAAAGAAAACAGAACAAAACAAAATAACAGTTTCGTCCAAAATAGAAACAAGGCCGCCACAGGTAACAGCAGGAAAAGAAGAAAAAGAAAAAGAAAAAGCCCAAACGAGCCTAAAATAATACAGATATAATATACAACATGCAGGGTGGGCAGGAGGGGGTGGGGG